TGTCCTGGTACTTACTGTGTTCTGGTACTAACTGTTTGGTACTTCTGTGTCCTAGGTACTTACTGTGTCCTGGTATTACTGGTCTGGTACTTGCTGGTCTGGTACTTACTGTGTCCTGGTACTTACTGTCCTGGTACTTACTGTGTCTGTTACTGGTGTGGTACTTACTGTGTTCTGGTACTTACTGTGTCCTGGTACTTACTGTGTCCTGGTACTTACTGTGTCCTGGTACTTACTGTGTCCTGGTACTTACTGTGTCCTGGTACTTACTGTGTCCTGGTACTTACTGTACCCTGGTACTTGCTGTGTCCTAGTACTGTGTCCTGGTACTTACTGTGTCCTGGTACTTACTGTTCCCTGGTATTTCCTCAACCCTGGTACTTACTGCTCTCTGGCATTTACTGTGTCCTGGTACTTTCTGTGTCCTGGTATTTAGTGTACCCTGGTACTTCCTCTACCCTGGTATTTACTGTGTCCTGGTACTTACTGTTCCCTGGTACTTCCTCTACCCTGGTACTTACTGTTCTCTGGTATTTACTGTGTCCTGATACTTTCTGTGTCCTGGTATTTAGTGTACCCTGGAACTTACTGTTCCCTGGTACTTCCTTTACCCTGGTACTTACTGTTCCCAGGTACTTCCTCTACCCTGGTACTTACTGTTCCCTGGTACTTAGTGTTCCCTGGTACTTCCTCTACCCTGGTATTTACTGTGCCCTGGTACTTACTGTGTCCTGGTATTTAGTGTACCCTGGTACTTACTGTGTCCTGGTATTTAGTGTACCCTGGTAATTACTGTGTCCTGGTACTTACTGTATCCTGGTACTTACTGTACCCTGGTATTTACTGTACACTTGGTACCTTATTGTATGTCCTGGTACTTACTGTATGCTGGTACTTACTGTACCCTGGTACTTACTGTACCCTGGTACTTACTGTGTCCTGGTACTTACTGTACCCTGGTACTTACTGTATCCTGGTACTTACTGTGTCCTGGTACTGTATCCTGGTACTTACTGTACCCTGGTACTTACTGTGTCCTGGTACTTACTGTATCCTGGTACTTACTGTACCCTGTTACTTACTGTACCTGGTACTAGTGTCTGGTACTTACTGTACCTGGTACTTACTGTATCCTGGTATTATGTACCCTGGTATTATTGTATCCTGGTACTTACTGTATCCTGGTACTTACTGTACCCTGGTATTTACCGTGTCCTGGTACTTACTGTATCCTGGTGCTTACTATACCCTGGTACTTACTGTACCCTGGTACTTACTGTATCCTGGTACTTACTGTATCCTGGTACTTACTGTACCCTGGTATTTACCGTGTCCTGGTACTTACTGCATCCTTGTGCTTACTGTACCCTGGTAATTACTGTGTCCTGGTACTTACTGTATCCTGGTACTTACTGTACCCTGGTACTTACTGTGTCCTGGTACTTACTGTATCCTGGTACTTACTATATCCTGGTACTTACTGTGCCCTGGTACTTACTGTACTCTGGTACTTACTGTGTCCTGGTACTTACTGTATCCTGGTACTTACTGTACCCTGGTACTTACTGTACCCTGGTACTTACTGTACCCTGGTACTTACTGTATCCTGGTACTTACTGTATCCTGGTACTTATTGTGTCCTGGTACTTACTGTACCCTGGTACTTACTGTATCCTGGTACTTACTGTATCCTTGTACTTACTGTACCCTGGTATTTACTGTGTCCTGGTACTTACTGTATCCTGGTACTTACTGTACCCTGGTACTTACTGTGTCCTGGTACTTACTGCATCCTGGTACTTACTGTATCCTGGAACTTACTGTACCCTGGTACTTGCTGTACCCTGGTACTTACTGTGTCCTGGTACTTACTGTACCCTGATACTTACTGTACCCTGGTACTTACTGTACCCTGGTACTTACTGTATCCTGGTACTTACTGTACCCTGATACTTACTGTACCCTGGTACTTACTGTACCCTGGTACTTACTGTATCCTGGTACTTACTGTGTCCTGGTACTTACTGTACTCTGGTAATTACTGTTTCCTGGTACTTACTGCACCCTGGTACTTACTGTATCCTGGTACTTACTGTGTCCTGGTACTTACTGTACCCTGGTACTTACTGTATCCTGGTACTTACTGTACCCTGGTACTTACTGTATCCTGGTATTTACTGTGTCCTGGTACTTATTGTATCCTGGTACTTACTGTACCCTGGTACTTACTGTGTCCTGGTACTTACTGTATCCTTTACTTACTGTACCCTGGTACTTACTGTGTCCTGGTACTTACTGTATCCTGGTAATTACTGTATCCTGGTATTTACTGTGTCCTGGTACTTACTGTATCCTGGTACTTACTGTACCCTGGTACTTACTGTGTCCTGGTACTTACTGTATCCTGGTACTTACTGTACCCTGGTACTTACTGTGTCCTGGTACTTACTGTTCTGGTAACTTACTGTATCCTGGAACTTACTGTACCCTGGTACTTACTGTACCTTGGTACTTACTGTGTCCTGGTACTTGCTGTACTCTGGTACTTACTGTGTCCTGGTACTTACTGTGTCCTGGTACTTACTGTGTCCTGGTACTTACTGTACCCTGGTACTTACTGTACCCTGGTACCTACTGTACCCTGGTACCTTACTGTCCTGGTACTACTGCACTCCTGGTACCTACTGTACCCTGGTACTTACTGTACCTTGGTACTTACTGTGTCCTGGTACTTACTGTACTCTGGTACTTACTGTGTCCTGGTACTTACTGTGTCCTGGTACTTACTGTACCCTGGTATTACTTTACTGTACCCTGGTACCTACTGTGTCCTGGTACTTACTGTACCCTGGTACTTACTGTACCCTGGTACCTACTGTACCCTGGTACCTACTGTACCCTGGTACCTACTGCACCCTGGTACCTACTGTACCCTGGTACCTACTGTACCCTGGTACTTACTGTGCTTTAGTATGGTACTCCCTCTTGGAACATTTCGACCAGTGGAACCTGCTAAAGGTGGCAGCTACCAGTGGAGCCATCACTGATCCCTGGAAGCCTTCGTCTTCACAGTCATTCACTGCTACACTGTCACCGTCGTGGCTGAGTCCCAAACTGTTCACAGCAAGAAAGAGAAAGCTTTATTTTACTGTCTCATTGTATAGATCGCTTGCCAGTAGTAACAGTCTGGTTGATCAGGCCCTGATCCATCATGTGGTCTGGTTATGGATCGAGCCGCCGGGGTGTTGATCCCTGTAATACCCTCCAGGTATATTCTAGGTAGGCAGACCCCTGGAACACCCTTCATGTATACTCCAGGTAGGTAGACCCCTGGAACACCCTTCATGTATACTCCAGGTAGGTAGACCCCTGGAACATCCTTCATGTATACTCCAGGTAGGCAGACCCCTGGAACACCCTTCATGTATACTCCAGGTAGGCAGACCCCTGGAACACCCTTCATGTATACTCCAGGTAGGTAGACCCTGGAACACACCTTCATGTATACTCCAGTATGTAGACCCTGGAAACACCCTTCATGTATACTCCAGGTAGGCAGACCCCTGGGAACACCCTTTCATGTATACTCCAGGTAGGTAGACCCCTGGAACACCCTTCATGTATACTCCAGGTAGGTAGACCCATGGAACACCCTTCATGTATACTCCACGTAGGCAGACCCCTGGAACACCCTTCATGTATACTCCAGGTAGGTAGACCCCTGGAACACCCTTCATGTATACTCCAGGTAGGTAGACCCCTGGAACACCCTTCATGTATACTCCATGTAGGTAGACCCCTGGAACACCCTTCATGTATACTCCAGGTAGGTAGACCCCTGGAACACCCTTCATGTATACTCCAGGTAGGTAGACCCCTGGAACACCCTTCATGTATACTCCAGGTAGGTAGACCCCTGGAACACCCTTCATGTATACTCCAGGTAGGTAGACCCCTGGAACACCCTTCATGTATACTCCAGGTTTGCCTGGAGAGAGTTCCCGGGGTCAACGCCCCCGCGGCCCGGTCTGTGACCAGGCCTCATGGTGGTTCAGGGCCGGATCAACCAGGCTGTTACTGCTGGCTGCACGCAATCCAACGTACGAACCACAGCCCGGCTGGTCAGGTACCGACTTTAGGTGCCTGTCCAGTGCCTGCTTGAAGACAGCCAGGGGTCTATTGGTAATCCCCTTTATGTATGCTGGGAGGCAGTTGAACAGGTAGGTAGACCCCCGAAACAGCATGTATACTCCAGGTAGGTAGACCCCTGGAACACCATGTATACTCTAGGTATATAGACCCCTGGAACACCATGTATACTCCAGGTAGGTAGACCCCTGGAACACCATGTATACTCCACGTAGGTAGATTCCTGGAACACCCTTCATGTATACTCCAAGTAGGTAGACCCCTGGAACACCATGTATACTCTAGGTATATAGACCCCTGGAACACCATGTATACTCTAGGTATATAGACCCCTGGAACACCATGTATACTCCAGGTAGGTAGACCCCTGGAACACCATGTATACTCTAGGTATATAGACCCCTGGAACACCATGTATACTCTAGGTATATAGACCCCTGGAACACCATATATACTCCAGGTAGGTAGACCCCTGGAACACCATGTATACTCCAGGAAGGTAGACCCCTGGAACACCATGTATACTCTAGGTATATAGACCCCTGGAACACCATGTATACCCCAGGTAGGTAGACCCCTGGAACACCATGTATACTCTAGGTATATAGACCCCTGGAACACCATGTATACTCCACGTAGGTAGACCCCTGGAACACCATGTATACTCTAGGTATATAGACCCCTGAACACCATGTATACTCTAGGGATATAGACCCCTGGAACACCATGTATACTCTAGGTATATAGACCCCTGGAACACCATATATACTCCAGGTAGGTAGACCCCTGGAACACCATGTATACTCCAGGAAGGTAGACCCCTGGAACACCATGTATACTCTAGGTATATAGACCCCTGGAACACCATGTATACCCCAGGTAGGTAGACCCCTGGAACACCATGTATACTCTAGGTATATAGACCCCTGGAACACCATGTATACTCTAGGTATATAGACCCCTGGAACACCATGTATACTCCACGTAGGTAGACCCCTGGAACACCACGTATACTCTAGGTATATAGACCCCTGGAACACCATGTATACTCCACGTAGGTAGACCCCTGGAACACCATGTATACTCTAGGTATATAGACCCCTGGAACATCATATATACTCCAGGTAGGTAGACCCCTGGAACACCATGTATACTCCAGGAAGGTAGACACCTGGAACACCATGTATACTCCAGGAAGGTAGACCCCTGGAACACCATGTATACTCCAGGTAGGTAGGTAGACACCTGGAACACCATGTATACTCCAGGAAGGTAGACCCCTGGAACACCATGCATACTCCAGGTAGGTAGGTAGACACCTGGAACACCATGTATACTCCAGGAAGGTAGACCCCTGGAACACCATGCATACTCCAGGTAGGTAGGTAGACACCTGGAACACCATGTATACTCCAGGAAGGTAGACCCCTGGAACACCATGTATACTCCAGGTAGGAAGGTAGACACCTGGAACACCATGTATACTCCAGGAAGGTAGACCCCTGGAACACCATGTATACTCCAGGTATAACAATGACCACATGCTATGGTTGACTTAGTGTGTTTGAAGACTGTATATTACACAAAGGTCACTACGACTGCAGGTCGCCAGCACACCAATAACCAAAGTGACTAATTCATGAGATGTGGATTAATATAAACTGCTAGTATGTATACAATTAGAAATACACACATCTCTGTATATACCCTAGAACATGTCAACAAGCTTTTATACTTATTGTAGTATATATATTAATAATATCTAACTTTGGATAACCCAGTAAGGTGAGAATTGTTCTACGGTGTCCCGTAGCTGGGTTGGTAGCGTACTCAGCTCACACATTGAGGTTCTTGGTTTGATCCCCGATACGGGTGGAAACATTGGGACGTATTTCCTAAAGACACCTGCTGTCCATGTTCACCGAGCAGTAAAATAGGTACCTGGGTGTTAGTCGACTGGCGTGGGTCGCATCCCGGGGACAAAAGTGACCTAATTTGTGGGAAATGCTCAGCATAATAAGCGGCTTTTTATACAGTAGTATGTCACTGATGTCAGCTATGGTCTGTATACCTTGTACATGTACTGGTAGAAGTATACTAGGGTTATTCTAGGACACCCTGGTTGAGGCAGGGCCAGGAACTGTGCCTCAACCCGTAGCATACGAAGCCAGGCGAGTACACAGTGTGTGAGGCAACACCTCTACCCCACCCTACACTCACTTCCACCTTGTTAAACTCCCCTCCTGTGTCTAACACAAGCATATATTAGTGGTCGCAGCAGGAGGAACACCACAAGTAATACTCTGTTTTAAAAAATTAAATAAAACTCAGAGTTGTATTTAAAAATCTTGATACAATAAAAAAAAATCTGATAAAAATTCCCATATATGCTGACAGGTGTGTCTACAAGATTCCTTGTAAAATATACTGACAGGTGTGTCTACAAGATTCCTTGTAAAATATACTGACAGGTGTGTCTACAAGATTCCTTGTAAAATATACTGACAGGTGTGTCTACAAGATTCCTTGTAAAATATACTGACAGGTGTGTCTACAAGATTCCTTGTAAAATATACTGACAGGTGTGTCTACAAGATTCCTTGCAAAATATATAATAAAATTCTCAAACTGAGAAAAAGTCTTGAACAAAGTTTACGAGAAAAATACAGCATTAAAACTGGACAAGAATTTAATGCTCTGTTGATTCACGTGAGAGATTTAACCAGTTGATTTTCAAATAACCGAGAAAATTGTATCAAGCAGATCTATGGTTGAAAGAAATATAACTGAAACAAGCATCATAAAAATAGTACTGATTTTAATGTGAATATAAGCTTAGGATTATACAAATTAGATTAATTATAATATAATTTGGGAAGAATTTAAGGTATGCGTGATAGGCCCTTAACCATCCCACCAGCATCATGCTGGGACGTGTTACAGCTTATGTGAGGTGATAGCTCAGCCTTTTAAGACTTCTACTGGTCTATTATATTCACAATTCCTTGATAATGTGAGAAATCACGAAAGCACTTGGATATCCACTATTTTTTCACAGTGGTTGTTCTGCATATTGTAATATTTCCTGCTTACTGTGATCTTATTGCACACACACACACACACACACAACACACACACACACACACACACACACACACACACACAATTATATATATATATATATATATATATATATATATATATTTTATATATATATATATATATATATATATATTAATATAATATCAATAACAACACTGCGCTAGCCAAGGATTCGAACCCATATTGTACTGGCCTGCCTCATTGTAAGCGAGAGCCACACGACGCTTTAAACCACAGGACCACCCAACCCTACTAGGGTTGTCGGTAGGGTTGGGTGGTCCTGTGGTTTAAAGCGTCATGTGGTTCTCGCTTACCATGAGGCAGGCCAGTACAACATGGGTTCGAATCCTTGGCTAGCGCAGTGTTGTTATTGATCAATACCACTCAATCGTGGTTACAATTATATATATTAACTATTAGCTAGCAAGAACTTTAGCCTCATCATTACTAGTACCTTCACTCTGCTCTACGTACAACAAAACAACTCAGAAAATCATTTACCATATATAATAGCGTAACGTCACTCACTGCGCTACGATAATCATCCACAAATGTACCCAGGTATTTTTTGTATGTAAAAACTCCATTTTCTATTGTTTGGCGTAAAATTTATTTTGGCCAACCAATGTAAGAGTTACTCAATAAAAAAAGTGACACTCGCCATTATAACATTTATTAGAGAATTTAAGCCCGAACTGTTTTAAAACTTTTAGTTATTTTTCAATTTCGTGACTGGATGTGTTCAGTTGAGCCTCACTTAAAGTGCCAGTCACCAGGTGTTTAACTTTGTACAGTGTTTTAATAGTGTAAGTTGAGCCTCACTTAAAGTGCCAGTCACCAAGTGTTTAACTTTGTACAGTGTT